AAAACCCTTGGTGCATAAATTACCAGTCTTCAAATGCTGGTGACAGAATCAACAGAAAATCCCAAGTATGGTGAATGCAGCAGAAATTATTACTCAGTTAGCTTCTGTTTAGCTTCTGTTGAAGTTTCTGTGACTTGTAGAACCCACATAACTTCCTAACTACTGTTATTGTAACAATATATCATCAGACAGGGGGAAAAAAAGTCCCACCTCTTGCTTGGTTTACAATATCTTCCTTTCCCGTAGCTGTGAGACTTGTCAGCTGTATTATGCTGGCTGTGAAGTATTTGGAAATGCCATGCTCATTATGTCCTGGGAAGGAACATATGTATGATATACCAAATAGATGCTTCAGGAAATATATAACTGACTCCACTGGAGCAGCTTTTTGGAGTTGGAGGGGTGAACACAGTAATTTTAAGATAAGCAATTTATTTTTACACTTCATATTCTGGGTTGTTCTACAATAAAGATACTTCATGCCTGCAATAGAAACAGTCCTGCTTGGAGAAACCAATTTCATTCTTCACAACATCAAATTTAAGTAGTATAAGCAACTAATATAGATCCCTTAATAATTAGTTTATTGTGCTGATGCATCTGATTGTCAAAATCAATTGTTCTTATCTTTCAAATAAAACACTGCTGTCAGAGTGACCATTCAAAATGATGTTTGACTTTGTAAACTACAGGGATTTATATCTTTTTTATTGGTATATCATTATGTGGACAAAATCATTGATCCTAAGGTTTGTCTCTACAATTCTTTACAAACTTTTGCCACACAAAATAGAATAGTAAGATAGTTCTTAGATCACTTGCAACACAAAGTGATTAGTACTAGTGTCCATAAAAGGATGGAAGACTAACATGAAATGCATTTTCTCATAGTAGCAGTATACCTTGCTTGTCTCTAACATTCACTCTTGTTCTTTTTTTTTCTCTCAGTTAGAATAGGTTGGTGGTGATCTCTATTTGGAGCTTAAACGGACTAAAGTTTAGTTATTGCAAAGAATTCTGTATGTCCTGAGATCCTGGACGGATAATTTATCATTGCATTACATGGCATTGCATCTGCTTTCCTATTGCCTAGTTGAACTGTTATATTGCCTGGTTGAACTGTCATTGTACTAATACTTTTTTGAAAGTTCTTAGGAAGCACTTTGATGTTTTTACTATTTTTTTAACACATTTATTTTCTTCTTCCACATATTTTATTGTCTCACTATGAATTAGTATTATGACAGACAGGAACTCTACTTCAAATGTGTTCAGTAGACACACAAAAAAAGTGTTCCAGCTTCTTGCTGTTCCAGAAAGACAGACTAAGCTTGTGTTGAGTATGAGAACACAGAGAAAAAAAAAATATGAAAGTGCTGAATCAGGTAGACATTTTCTCTATGCCAGTATTCCACCCCTGTTGACTATAGTAAGCAACCATTTTGTAAAACTTCTCCTGAATAACCCCCCAGGTAGTTAGCTTTCTCTCTTTCTCTCTTTCTCTCTTTCTCTCTTCTCTCTTCTCTCTTTCTCTCTCTTTCCTTCCTTCCTTCCTTCCTTCCTTCCTTCCTTCCTTCCTTCCTTCCTTCCTTCCTTCCTTCCTTTTTTTTTTTTTTTTTTTTTCTCATTTATTTATTTATTTACTTACTTGGTTTTATAATCATCAGTGGATATTCCACACACCTTAACTACACATAGTGCAAAGAAATATCTTCTTTCATTTGTTTATACTATGGTATTTTCTGGTTCCATTTGATTTATCTACTTTAACACTCAAGTTTTATTTCATGTAAGACTTCAAGAAATTCCTCAGAATTTTACATTTATTCTCACTGAAGAAAGTAAATTCATTTGAATATAGAAGTGTAAAAGAACTGTTTTACATATTTCAGACATCTGTTCCAGAATGTCTGAAGAACTCAAACATACCTGTAGACAAAACCTGACATACAGGAAGTCTTTGATTTCACGTTTTGCTGAAGAGGAAAAGAACACATGAATCTTTATCTGTGTGTTTTATAAGTTAGCAAGTCTGCAAATTCAGCAGTTTGAGTGACAGAGGTGTATACCAAATGGCAGGATAATTAATGTAAGATAATTAAATATCTTACTGTTGGTTTTGAGATTCATATCCCTGTTGTCCTAAAAATCCTAAATTTTTTTTTTTTTTTTTTTTTTTCTTGTCTACATTCTGTAAAATCCTTTGTAGAAACGTCAGCAAGTGACTCTCAGGTATTCAGAGGATGTATACTCTTTGTCTTCTCATCCTCAGTGCTGCTTCCAGAAGAGTGAATTAGAGAAAAAGAATAATTTCACCTTAACTTTCACAGCTGATAGAGGCTATGCAATGAAGCACTTTTTTGTGGGACAGGACAACTAGTTTAACTGGCCATACAAACATAGTCACTAAGTCTTAAGAAATCCATATAGTGATATTTAGTTTTCTTTTATATGTAATTATTTGTCAAAATAATTTTTAAAAAATATTATTTGTTATAAAAATAATTTTAAATTATACAAAAAATAACAGTAGGACTTTACTAGTTTTGTACTCAGGTATATATATTGGTGAAAATTTCTATATTGATGTTAATCTTCCAAAAGTAAGTTTCTCTTTTACTTTCCCATATTGCTTACTTTGAAAATACTGTTAATGATGAAAACACTTGTTTTCAGATATTGAATGTCAGCATATTAACATCAGTCATTTTATGAACATTACATGTTCATGAAAGTATCAGTCTGAAAAATAGGCTTTACCTCTATCCAAAGAGTAATATCTTTCCCTTTATTATTCTGAGATTTCTGAAAGATGAATAACATTTTAGTAATTTAATGATGTATAGAGTGACAGTTCTGTACATGAAGAATTTTCAGATTTGGTTGCATAACCATGGCAAATTTCTAGCCAAAGTTTTCAGAAATTATGTATAAATACAGATAAAAAGAGGATATATCTTGATTAGGACATTGCGTAGGAAAAAGAAGTAAAATTATTGTTAATATGCTAACTGTCTTGGGAGCTTCCCAAATTCAAAGTTGCTCCACAGGATGGCTAGGAACCTATTCAGGCATGCTGCTATTTCCCTTGGATAGTTTTGTCTTTTAAAGGCGAGACACCAAATTACACTCTTGGGAACAGACTCAAAAAACATAAAGCTTCTTCAACATTATGCACCATGACCCCAGAACTGACACTTTATTAGTCCACTATTTCACTACAATTTTTTTAAAGCCAGAGAAGATACTAAAGCAAGGTTTAAATTTTATCACAAGTCCTTAGCTTCCCAGGGTTCTGGGCCAAATTGTAGCTATAATGTATGATTAAAACATTGTTTGCTTCACCGTTGTATCAGATAAGCATACGCTTTTACCCTACCAAACAGAGCTTTACTAGCAGGAACAGGGTCTGGTTCTTGTAGGATTCAAATACAAAGAGTGTCTTGGACCTTCAACCAGTGATTTGGAAAAATAAATCTAAACACATTTATGCTCAAAACACTTTTTTTTTTTTTTACTTTTTTTTTTCTTTCTGCCTTAGACGTACATCTTTTGACTTACACGATAATCTGTCAAAGGGACGAAGAGAATCAGGGAGGTAGACAGAATAAACTCTGGAATATTTCCAGACTCCTCTATCAAAAATGCAACTAAAATTATTTATAATTCCTTTCTTTGGATTTTGGTAAAGCAATTACTAAATCAGGTGGTTGCTCCCCACCTCCTGCAGTAACATCTCACTAACAGTTTGGGATTGTCAAGTCCATCACTCCTGATGGATAGACAGCTTCCATGCAGGTAGCACCTTATGGTGATGTCCATACTGAACTACATCCTCCAACTGCTCTAGCTGCTCCAATAGCTCTGTTTTTCACCAAGAGTACCCACAGCACATAGGATGACAAATAGTCCAGTTGTATAAACTTGAGTTGTAACAAACTCTTCTAACTTGAGAAACTTTTAGCTATATCTTTTGCATTACAGGCAACAACTTATGCAAACTTAATAAGCTTTAGGCTTGCCCATTGATGTTTTTCATGCATCTCTCCTATCTACTGGGTGGTATTGTAATCACTACCCACAGTGTTATAAAAAGGTACTTTCAAGTTATACATTTGAAATATATTTCAAGAAATATTTTATAATCAGCCATTCTTTTTTTATTTATGAAGTTAGAAGAAATTCTAAATATCGAAAGGCTGAAATTTCAACATTCAACTAACTTTATGGTTAAAAGTCTAGGTGGGCTTCCCTCCCCTAATGTGCATTTTGGTGGGGAAAAAATAGCAATTACAGCAGATGTTCTTGTCAGAAATCATTTTAAAATTAAATTAAATCAGATTATGCCCTTGCAACTTATATACAATCGTGTAACTGTTGAAAGGTCATGCATTATAACCACAGGAAATTCAGTCAAGGTCAGATTTAAAAGCAGTGGAAATGTTTCTGATTACAGAAGCATACGTTGCAAACAACTTCAACTTCACCTGGGGGCAAACCATGAGAGCTGATAATTTAATTAGTCTTTAAAATCAAGTTAATCAAATTGTGATCAGGAAACATTAAAATCATTAAGAAAATACATGACTATTGCGTTGACTTTTTTTTAAATAACTTGGAAAAGGAGAGATATGAACAGTACAACGTAGGTGAAGAATTTGATGGAATCCCTGGCTATTAAGACAAGATAATTTCTTTGCAAAAGCAGGCTTCTGTAGTAAGGTAGAAGACGTATTATGTCTGGTAGTTTCTACTGTAATTATTTACATCATGATTTTCTGAACAAATTATTTATTAATAACACTGATTTTGGTAAAAACATATTCATCAAAATCCCAACCGCTTTAAATACATTTGGAGTTTTTCCATTGGTTTTACTGAGATCATAATCTTACCATTTATATTTTGGAGATACTCATAAGTGAATGAGTCAAGACCTATAATCTTATTTTTTAGAAAGGCATTTTGCTGTGAGTGTAATCAATTAATTTTTTCTTTAGGCCACTCTGGAGCAAGTCATTAAAGAAAATCTGTGGTTAGCTCAAGAATATCAAATTTCTCAGAACTGCTACTTAAACAGTAAAGAAGACCTCACGGAACTTTATGACAATAGAATCAGGATGGAAGCTTCAGTTAGAGATTATCAGCAGGTAAAATGCTAATGTCACTCATTCAAATCATTTATCTCATCTTTAAAATTAATTTGATCAATGCAGCTACCTAATAGCAATAGAATATGCTCTAGTAATCTACCACCTGAATTCTTGTGTTCTTCATGAGCATTTCACACTTTCTCTATTTTCATTTCTTTTCTTGTTTGCTTGTTTTTTAAATTTTACAGAGCTAGTCATGTAAGGTATTCATTATTCCTTATTAATGAATTGATAATTGCATTTTTTTACCTGAAATGTATTTATTTTTGTACAAAAATGTATTACCCAGTATAGTATCCGGTATCTTACCATTACACATAACTTCTTCATGAAATACTCTTTCAGGGAACTGTGAGTTTTATGACAGCTATAATCAGACACTGTAAGCCTTTAATTTAGCAAACAGTCAAATGAAAATGAAAAAAGTTAAAATCTAGTTTGATGAACATTCATGATGGAGGTATAGTGGTGAGGTGTAATGTTCTATTGAATAAATAGTTATATTTAAAAAGATTTTTTCTTGGAATTTAACAGTGCTCTGGAACATAAATCAAGTGAGGTGTTGTAAAACCTTGTTGTGAGAATGTAATGTAAATTCACATAAAAATACATTGTTTCTTTGCTTTGTATCTATTGCTCTCAGAATAAATCCTATCAAAACCAACTATAATCAATCCAAAAATATTATCTGGGTATGTTATGTTATTCTTTGCTTGCCTTTCATATCTGTGTTTTTGAAAATTAATATGCATTGAAGTCATCATACTCACAAATCTTATACTCATCAACAATTTCTAGTAAGAATGTGTATTAACTTTTGTGCAGGAATCGGGTCCCGATACACTGTCATTTTAGTCCATTTTCTAAAAGAACAGTGTAGAAATCTTCAAATAAATAAATGAATGAGATGTGAAATTTAAATTATTTGTAGTACTTTTCTCCTATTTTAAATCTTATCTCCATATCTTCAGTCATTGCTCATTTCCTGACATAACACCTCAGTAAATCTCTTAATTTTGAAATTGAGTGTACTCAGTTTGTTCCTGATAAATATCAATAAGAAAACCCTGTCCAAAATATTCTTGTTAACTACACACCCCTCTATATTTCAAGAACAAAACTGTTTTTAAGTTATGTATTCTTAGGGATAACCATATTTGGAGAATAAGTTGGAAATTAAACATCAAAAAATGCAAGAAATTATCTCCTATCTCTCCTCACCAAGTGAGTGTCAATTATGGTTTCTCAATATGATATTAGAGGCAATGCTATGGGTATTGAAATGTTTCTTTAAAGAAGTGAGTTATAGAAGGAATTTAACATATTTTTATCTGAATACAGAATTAGGGCATAGCTTCTATAAACTTCACTAAAGAAAAGTATATTTGTTATCATCTGGACCTTTAATTCCTTTGAGTGTAAGAATATTTGTCTTTCACATTCTCAGAATGTAATACTACCAATAATCTTGGTAATATTTGTGAAAGAGATTTCCTACTCAGCAGTTTACCTCTTCTGGACATAGTGTGGATAATATTATCATACATCTCAATGAGGTAATCTGGAAGCAAAGAAAATTGCAAATGAGTTAGCATATATTATTGCTTTTTTCCTTCTCAATCTGTATACAATAAAATAAACATAGTAAAATATAGCAAAATTAAAATGTAATACCAACAGGATTTAGTTTCATCAGCACTACCATATAATCATTTGTCTGGCTGTTTAAAACCTTGTTTATGAAGAAAATTATTATAAGTTTCTATTCTATAAGAGCTTATAATCGACATTACAACACATACACCTTGCTAGTGCTAGAAATTAGTGATAGGAATATTTAGAATTTCTGACAGTCTTCTGTGCAGTATAGGTATGAAGAAGGTTCTATTAACAATATTAATTTGAGAAGCACAGGGACAACTAATCTAATCTCCTTTTGGATAACTTTTCACTTTGTTAAGTGATGAACTAGCCCAAATATTACAAAAAAATATTTCTTTTAATATAGATATATTTTCCATTAAAAATGTGTTGATTACATAAACCTCCTATAAAAAGAAGTTTATTTTTGTTTGTTTGTTTGTTTTGCTAATAGTCAAAGTACAGCTGCAACAGAAAATTGATTTTAGTGGATTGTCAAAGTAATGATTTTTCTAGATGTTGTACTATATACATGCATTACAATCACATGAACATTCAAGAAGAAAGTGTGCTTATCCTTCCTTTCCTTAAATCCTGAGAACTTTCCTCCTGTTGCATCCTATACATATAATTGCTCAAATTGCAAGCTAATTTAATGATTATTTATGTAAAAGTCACATTGCTAATTTTAATTAGTTTGGAGTATTTTTAACTGGATATAATAACTGCTGTAACTAATTAAGTAGGTTTTCTTTGGGCTTGTAATAGCTGCTTTGCTCAGTCCAAGAAAAGGCTCCATCTCGATGACAGGTGAAATGTCTTCGATAACAGGAAAAGTTTTGTCATGACCTTGTAAGATTCTGTGTCCTGAGTAAGGTGCAGTTATGAAGGATAATAGGGAGGATACACATTGCTGAATGTGGACTACTCCCATAAAAAGTATACTTTCATCTGTATGGTGAATGCAAAGGCATTCTCTTTGGAGGAGGTAAGGAGGATTTTCTTCATACTACTACACATATGAGGTACAATGAAATAAGGTTTTCTCTCCCACTGACATTTTCTGGATGTTACTTTTTCCTCTGGATACTTAAGGAGAACCTAGCTTGCTATAACAGATAGTAGCCTGGTAGAAAACAGACATGCAAGTTTCAGCTTTGCTGCAAGTGAGAAAACATCTTTGCTTTCTTCAATTCCCATGACTAATGAAGCACTGCTAATAAGATGTTTTTGTGTGTGTATAGTATTACTACTGCCTTTGTTTTCTTTACTCTGTCCCATTATTATATTACAAATTCTTCAACTTAACAAATTCCAGGAGATTTTATGCTTTTGTTAGGCTTCTGAAATAAATAAATTATAAAAAAAAAATAAAATAAAAAAATAAAAAGATAAGATTCTCAGCTTTAATTTAGAAGCATTCGTTTCTAACATTCTTTTCACATTTCTTCTGGAAATCTCAAAGGGCTTCCATATTAGTATTAGGAATATTTTTATACATGAAAAACAAACTTAACTCTTTATCATATCCTTCTTTTTATATGGGACAATTGTATAACATCTGTCCCATGAATAAAATCTGATACTTCCATTGTATTTTGCTAATGCATTGATGGTTGTACTGTAAACATGAGCATTTGTTTTCATGAAGTTAGAGTAGATTCCCAGATATACAGATATGTCATCATCTCATATATTAAGAAGCTATTTACCTTAATCTGTCCTTAAACTTAAAAGTGTCACAGTCTTACAAAACTTTGATAATTGCTTTTCTTCACATAACTTGTATTTAAAACTAACGTCATGCCAATCATAATTGGTTTAAAATTTAAGTAAAAAATCATTCTCATATTCATGATCTGCTATATTCAACATTATACTGAGAGTGTGGGAGAAGAGAGTCTATTGATTTCTGTTTCCTTTTTTTACTTTCTGGATAACTGACATATTATTGCAGTAAAACATATGTAGGGTCAATTCATGCTGAATAGTTATTAGAAACCATGATAACAAAAGTCATTACACTGCAGTTCAGTTTTGACAGTAAAATTTCTGCAACATTATCACAAATCCTCACGCATTAGTGCAATGATCCTTACTATAGCTTCATATTAGAATCAAAAGACTGCTGTAGCATGCTTGATACAAAAAGTCATGCAAGTCAAGTGAAGTTCTTTTCCGCTTTTATAGATAACATATTTTCATGTCTTTCTCATGCATGTGTCTGGCTTTCAGCCCTCTTAGATATTACTACTTTTAGTATATTGCTCAACTGGGATTATTTTTTTTTAATGATGTCCCTGTTGTTTTGAATGACTAAATAGAATATAAAATAAATCTGATAGTGGGCACATGTCAGTTTATGCAATTAACTCCTTCAGATTTTATGGTTCCCATTCATTGACCTTAATGGCAAAAAGTACTATTCTCATATAAACAAAAAATAATTTCTGTCTCTAAATGGTGTTTTTGCTTATTCAGTTCACTCATCTGGAGATCTTCGATTGTTTCATATCTTCGCAAGACTAATAGCAAAAGCGTGGATAAGATTACGGCAAAAAAAAAAATAATAAAAAAAATACTCCCATTCCCATTTCCTTACAAATTTAAATGAAAAAATAAAAGTGTTAAGGATCCAGTGTTAAATACATTAAAATTATTATAAAAGAAGTATCAGAAGTTTTATCTGTTTTAAAATTAAATGCTTAACCAGTTTTCAGAGATGGTTTGATTAGGAACAGAAATATGTGATGGAGCTAAAATTTCCTTTTTGCAAATATAGCAAGACTACATAATAGCTAATAAGCAAAAGTATGTAATTTACAATATTCTTAAATATTTTTTTTTGTCTTTAGAATTTTGACATCATGATAGGTTGACAGAATAGACAACTTTATATAAAAACATAAAGAAAAGAATGTATCTTCAGTAAGGTTTTTATTACACAAATTTACTAAACTTTCATTGAGCTAATTATATCTTTAAAATCTAAGCATCAAATGTTATAATTAAATTTGAATCGATAACTCAATAAGTTCAAATGACTCAATCAGAAAATTAATACAAAAGGCAGTCAATTTGAATTATTAGTTTGATAACAAAATTAAATGATTGAGATAATTTAAAGCAAAGTCAGTGTTCTTTCTGTATGCACTGGCCATATCAATGGCTGGTCAGAACAGAGTGTGTGTAGGACTTAAAAGATAGTAAATTCCTATAGAAGAAGGTGTCCCATTACAGGAAGTGAAATCTCTTTATTTCTCTGTAAGAAATACAGAAAAGGGATAATTTGATTAAGCATTTCTATTTTAAATTGAGTGTTCTCTATTGCCTCTGTAGAAAAGATCAGGAAACCACTTTTTTCCTAATAGGTACACAAGCTATAGAAAGACTACACAAGCTACAAGCCTCCCTGTTTTCATCAGTTTTTTTTTTCTTGTTTTTTTTTTTTTTTTTTTTTTTTTTTTTTTTTTTTTCCCAGCTTTGGGACTACTATACATTTAATTAAAAAGAGTCATTTTTTTCTTTTTACTCCTGTATCTGCTTGCCTCTTCCAGGCTCCATGCAGCACAAAATGAACAGAATAGGAAAAAACAGACTATGCTTTGGTTACCTTTGGTTACCTCTTATTAAACAAAGTAGAAAGAGATGGACATTGTCAGCACTTCTTATACTTCACAACACCTTGTAACATGTAGATACACATTAATGTGCCTGTAAGTACAAACTGCAGGGAAGACCTGGTCTGAAGCTGCTCAGTCCTCAGTCAGGTGGTAGGTATAATCTTCAGTCCTGTGTTTAATCTTTTTTTTTTTCTATCCAGGAAA